CAACTATTATTATGAGGCTCAGTTTATGTTGCTCTGGGCTATTGTAAATATTTTTACATACACAGTTGATTTGGATTTATGCATCTATGAGTTCACGGCAGATATGAGGCGCAGCCCTGCGGCCCTGCTTTTCCACATGGGGGCGCTGTGGTCAGCTCAAAGTGGGGCAGAAAGGGGAGAGAGAGCTCGCCAGGTCTAAGGCCAAAGAAGGTGGAGCAAAGATGAATCTTTGCTTAACCTACACAAGGCCACAACCATTTCACTTCCAGAAACAGCTCTGCTGTTTTGAATTTTCACTTAAAAATACCAAAGAGCACTGACTTAGCCTGTAACTAAAACCAAAAGAGACGCTCTGAACAAAGGGAATGGCTGCTGCAGAAAGAGACCACTCCCTGGCCCTGTTGTACGGTACTCTAAATCTTATTTCCCAGTAGGGATGGGAGGCCTAGTAGTACATACGTTATATATGAACTAATTAGTAGAAAGAAGTCCATAAAATACATGATCAACCCTTAAGGTAATTACTCTTTCTAAGCGGGCCCTCTGTTTAATTTGGATTCCCTCTTCAGCTCCTTCCAGCGTGACCTCTGATCGACAAGTGCCCTTGGAGGTGAGGTGGGTAAACACTGAAGCGGGTTTGATTTCGTGTTGAGGAGCTGCTCAGTGTTTAGAAACCGGCACTGACGGGTTTGTAAGCGGTGGCTCTGGGGGAGGACCTTGGGGACACTGTAAATCACCGTGGTTGGTGAGTTCATGCCCTACTGAGTGCTGGACACCCCGCCCCCAACAGCCTCTGGGATCTCTGCTGTAGGGGAGTGTCTGTGGGTGGACGCAGTGTGGCTCCCCCCTGCCTGTCACAGTCACAAACTTAAAAGTGGCCCCAAGGATGTGGGGCTGATCTCCCTGAAAGAGAAGGGGCTGGAAACTGAGTTCAGCCACACGGCCAATGATTTGATCCATCACACCTACCTAATGAAACCCCAATAGAAACTTTAAACACGGAAGCTTGGATACACCTCCCTGGTTGGCGATAACTGAGTGCCATCCCACATCCTGGCCAGAGGGAGGCAATGCCGTCCAGGGCTCCGCCCCCGGCAGAGGATGGCTGGGTGCGCCCTCTCCAGACTTCGTGTGAGCATCTCTTCTGATAGCGGGTTCTGATTGGTACCTTTTTGCTATAATAAAACCGTAATCAGTTCTAAAAACTGGCCCCCAAAAGTACATGACAGGATTGTTATTTTTGAAAAGCTTAAGGAGTACGTGGGTCCTGAGAGCGACGGAAATTTCTCCTTCCTTTCACGCATCCATTCCCAGTTTCACCTACCCCCCCCCCCCCCCCCCCCCGCCCAAAAGGTACATTACCAGAAATTTGGGGCTGGTTTCTGTGAAGGAGGCCGGGTGAAAGGAAGGAAATGGGTACTGGAGCATTCTGGAAGTTTACCTGTCCTTCTTTCTGGCCAAGGAGCCAAATGGCAGCCATTTACTAAGCTGGATTTCAGCGTCCTTGTTTGTGTTTTAAAAGACGTTAGGTGAACTAGGCGATCATTTTATTACATGGATCCAATGAACACAGAACAATGAACTCCATTAATGTAACATTGCATTTAGGAATCAAGAGTGATTGGATTGGAAAAGAGATACTTGCTGTCTTCTTATCACTGGTCGAAATACTGCCCTATCCCCTCCAGAAACAAGTTAATTAATGTGAAGGGTTTTAAGGACATTTTGAGGGAGAGTAGCCAAAATAGAGAGATGGAAACTTCCAATAAGGGTGACTTATTTGGTTCAAAACAGTTTGTCTCTTGAATTTACTGGTGATAACCAGATTCAAAGAGGAAGCAGACCCCAGGGATGAAGGAAACCCAGGGTACAAGGAAGAAATTCTGCTGCCATGACCTCATGCCATGAACTTGCAGAACTTTCTGAAGAATTTCTGTAAGATCTGAGAAAGAACTTACATGGCTCACACTTGATTCAAGTTTATAATTTCAACAGGGCACAGATTCATGAGTCTGTGATCACATCCAATTTGCTTTACCAAACTATCTGGGGAAGACACTGATCATTTTTCGTACATGGCAGTTGACCTAAACAATCAGTAAAAGAGGCAAACAGTGTGAAGAAGCTGGACCTGCCTTCACCTGTCCTTCCTATAAGCTCCCAGGGCACCCTCTGCGCTCACCCCTCCCTGCCACTTGACATGTGCCATTCTAATGACCTACTTACTCACCGGTCTCCCCCAAATCCTTCCAGCCAGGGGCAGCGTCCTGTTCATCACTGCAAGCCCTCTGCTGGCACTGAGGAGATTACCACTCATGTTTATGAGATGAATGAACAAGTGAATGAAGAGCAAAGAGCTTCCCTTCTAGAGTAATTCTACCTGCCCTACATGAAGCCCATTTCTCTAAGTGTGAGGAGATGAATGGTTATATTTCAGAGCATGCAGAAATAAATGCTTATGTCATTGAATAATGAGCTGGGACCACTAATAAAAATTATTTGCCTGTTGTCTGCTCTGCCAAGTAGCCCAATCTGTTAAGTGACATGAAAGATCTAATTTAATTAAATCTTGAACAAGGCTCAGAAAACCTACAGAGAGCACTTTGTTTAATTGCAGGCAGGGGGCAAGCACCAATCCTATTGATCCGGTCAGCTCAAATTCTATACAATAAATGTGGGCAGTGAACAAAACAAAACAAAACAAAACAAAACAAAACATGGCCCCAACTGCTCTTCAGGCAACTCTGATGGGCTGTGGACTCAGAGCCGCCAGGAAGGCAGCGAAGGCAGGCCCGCCAGTGTGTCCTGTGGCGTCACAAGCAGGGACGTGAAAGCGAACTCCGTCACTCCACAGAGCTGCGCTTGACGAAGAACAGGAGACGCCGACCACAAAAAAATCCAGGTTCCTCTGCGGGGAAATGACATGTAATGGGTGGTGGTGGGTGGAAGCCACCCAGCATTTAAAGGCATCGAGTAAATTCCCTGAGACTCACAACTGTCTTGAAATAAAGAGAAATACATCTAATCCATGAGCATGTGTACAAGTTCCTGAGGAGAGTTCCAGTTGAGGAAGAGATACAAGTTCTTCAACATGTTTACTTGGAGGTAATTGAAATGTAAATTATACAAACTTAATATAAAACCGTGTTAACTGCAAAACTTAAACTACCTTTTAAGTGTGATCAGAAAAAAGGCTGCCTGAGCATGCTATGATTTATTAGCTAATTGTCCCGCATTGGGTATTAGTATCGCCCCCACTTCACGAAAGAGAAAACCGAGGCTCAGAGAAGGCGGGTCACTTGCCAAAGACGCACAGTGATGTGGGAGGCCAGGCTTCAGAGCCCCGGGGCCACACGTCACCAAACTCCTCGGCTCTTAACACCAACCTCCAGAGTTGGAGAAAATACTCAAAGAAGGCGGGCTGGCTTTTTACCTTCTGCTGGTCACAAGCCAGGGCTCTCTTGTGCTTTAGTAACTCAAGTTAGAGGAGGAAATTTATTCTAAACCACAATATGTAATTACACCTGAGACCAACATTTCCCTCACAAAACATGCACCATCAGAATGCGCACGCAAAGAGCAAGCACACCTAATTAGGGCATTAGTCATAATGATCATGGAATTCACTCCAGGAAATTACAGGTGGTGGGGGCCTCAGCACGGAGGAAATGTCATCAGCTTGCCCAGATAAAGTCTTTGCTGACTGGGACGATTTACACCTGCTGATGCAAGTGGAGAGAACGGCACCCGGTACAGCTGGGTCCTGGAAACAACATTATGCACAAGAGTTCTGACAAAACGATGTTCAGATCTGAGTGGTAGGGATGCTGGCCTTTTAATTATACCATCAAGCACAAGTGTGGAAAAGAGCTGATAACATTCAAAAATAGTAATTTCTTCCACAGTCACACATAACAGTAACTAAGAAAACTTCCATGTAGATTAAAAACACAATGAGCTACACACGCTGACCTTTTTGAAGAACCACCTATTTTCACGGTGCTCTTTGAAAGTGGGGAGGAGCGCACGATGGCAAAGGACAACGACATCCCCCGGATGTGTTTTTTTCCTCCCTGGTCCCACTTCATCCGTGTGCAAACTTACCAGTTAGAGCTGAACTAGGAAGCACGTCTCAGTATCGCCAAGGGTGAGACAAAGAGGAAAGCAAGTCTCCTAATTCACAGTGAAGTTCAGAGGGACTGTTACTGACTGAAGAACTCCTTGCTTTTCCCCCACTCCAATCACAGATCCAATTCACAGCCAGGCAAAGAAGTGTTTGTGGGTTCCAAAGGAAAAAACTCCGTTTTTTGAAAACTGAGTGCTTTTAACCATTCTGCCAAACATTTCTATCCTGAAATATCAGCTCCTTTAGTGATGGATACATTTCCTGAACAAAGTGGTCCTCGTACTGCTTCAGGCAGCAGAGTCATTGGTACACAGGCATAAGTACCAGGAATTACACATACATGCACATGCTTAACACATACATACATACATACAACAAATATATATGCAGACACACATATATGATTGTTTAAAGTTAATGAGTCTGCAGATGAAAGAGCTGACACTTCTCATTAGAGTCACGACAGGTGAGAGAACAGCTGCTCTAAATGTAAAGAATTAATAAAAGAAACTATGGAGGGGACACTCTATATATTTTTGCAAATTATAAAATAGTATTAGTTGATCTTAAAAAAACATTTTAATTGAGCTTGGGGAAGACCTGCATAACCAGGAGAATGGCTGGAGAATCACTGTGCTGATACAATCATACCATCCACTTAGATTTGCGATTCTGGAGAATAGTGGGGTTTTTTTTTTAAATCTTTCCTCCACACCTCAGCACTTTCAAATTACTTTTCTTTCAAGAATGACTTTAAAAAAAATGACTTCAAAACCAGAAAAGAGATGGTAATTCCCAAGGCTACAAATGCCACAAAATTGCTGGGGCTGCCCTTGGCTCTGAGGCCCCGGGCCACCGGATCTGGCACGCTCACCCTCCTGCGGAGCCGGTCCCGCTCCTCCCGGACAGCGTTCATGGTGGCCTTGGTCCTGTTCAGCTCCTCCTCTTTGCTGCACAGCATGGCGGTCAGGCTCTCATTCTCTTCCCTCAGCCCAGCCAGCTCCTTCTCCCAGCGACACCGCTCCTCAGCCAGGTTGGGATACAGATCCCGGCCGAGGACCCCCTCGATCTCCTCCACTGTCTAGAAAACACAGCCACAAACACAGGCCAAATGAGTGAGCTGGGAGAAAGGGGAGGGGAAGGAAACAGGCTGGACAGGGGTGCGTGTCCACAGGGGAGCGGGTTCTACAGCCTCTTCATCGCGAACTGTAGTCATGAGCAGGGGCACCCCAAGTCCTCCTCTCCCTATTTTCAAATCAGACTCTGTTGCCCGCCTGGGTCCTACTCTGTGTTTCCAGCAGTCCCCACAGTAGGAAACGCATGGCTCCTTCCCGGCACTAACTGCCCACACCAATGTTTATCTCCTTTGTCCACGTTGCAGAGTCGGTGACGACATACCAGCAGACAGAAGGCGGTTAGTGATCCTGCAACGCCAATGTGAGGCTGCACACTTCTCACAAAATCTAACTTGAAGTTCCCTAAATTACAGGCCCACCCACTCCAGCCTGGCAACAGGAGAGGCCAAGTCACCATCTCTAGCTTTCCATGTCAGGTCGGAATTCGGAGGGTGACTGAGTGAGGTGCAAGGTGTGAGAGACGAAAATAAACCTCAGTGACACTGAAAAGAGGAAGCTCATTGTGGAGACTTCTAAGACGGCAGGAATTTAATTAATAAAATAGCTATGAACTCAAAAGAGCAGAACCTTACTACTTGGAGAGTTTTTAAAAATTCATTTAAAACATAGCATTAATGGAGAAGAAATGTGCAGAAAAGTAGAAGAAAAGGAAGACCTCGTTCTGCTTGCTTTCAGAAACTCTTCATTCACATCTCTTGTCCTTCGGAAAAGGAAGCACAGCCCAGTGACAGGAGGGAGGGAGGGTCAGTACGTGGGAGCAGAAGGCAGTGAAGAGGTGATGAGGAACAGGTTTGGAGACAAAAGGAATGAAACAAAGAACGTAAGGGGGTTTCCCAATTTGGCTGTGACGTCACCCCTGCTGTGCTCTGTCCCTCCTCTGAGATGTGAGAGCGGCCCTGTCCCTTGCTGGTCAGCCGAAGTCCCTGGCTTCCCCCTGCCCTCTCAAAGCTGAGGCCAGGGCTGGTACCCAAGTTGACATTAAAATTAAATCTAGGGCCTAGGAGACTCCAGACAAAGAAACACCAGTGGTTGCTTCCCCGAACCACGTCAACGATGTATTAATAATCGAGATAAATAAAGATGGAAAACCAGCTGTGTTATAAATATGAATCACGGTTCACCTTGAGATGCCACCGCCCTCTCATGCAGTCCAGGATTCCTGCTGATAGAAACTTGGACCTGGAGGCCTAAGACATTTTTCAAGTAACACATCACATTTTCCCTTTTCAGAGGCCCATCCCAGGCTTTCCAGATTGAATCGCTATGCCGAGGTCACTAAGCTGTGGTGAAGTAATATGAAGATCCCAGAGGCCCTGTAGCAACAGGACTCCACATTCCCATCGCTCGTGATGAGTCCGTGCAGAGGTAGCCAGTTCCTCTCTTTTTGTTCTCCTTGAGAAGTGACGTGAATGGATGTGAAAGGCGTGGTTGAGACCCAGCACCAATGTGTTCGGGATACCTGACTCACGGAGGCCTGGAACTTCCCCCTCGGTAGCACCGTGAATTGATAACTCCTGAAATAATATTCTAGAGGCCATAAAGCTTTAATAAAACGTCCGTGTTAATCTTTGGGCTATATGATGCACCACACTGAAGTGGCGTGGCTCAGTACCAGCAGTCTGAGAGCTTCCAAGAAAACTGTCATTTTTGCTGCTAAGAAGGTGATCTTGGCTGTTGATATAGTGACTTTTTCTAATGTAACTCAGCCCAGCAAAAATTTACGGGTGCTGCCTTCTTTCTGGTGGCCCAATCTGTACACATGGGTTTCTTAAAAACACTCATTCTTAACAGGTATTTGAGATAACCGCACTTCAAAAGAGAGAGATCTGATCGTTTCCCCCACATGATCTCCAAGAGCCACACAGAGGGTGGGGGTGGGGGGTAGGGGTGGGGGTTACCTTAATGGCCAAGTCGCAGTGCTCGCTGGCCGTGGTGAGCTGCTCAATGTGCCTGTCCACCTCGGCCACAGACAGGCTGCAGCTGCTCTTCTTCCTGCAGCAGACGACGTTCTCCAGGCCCGTGAGCACCCGCTGCAGCTCTGAGTTCAGGTCGCTGCAGTTATCTATGGTGAACGTGCGCAAAGTGAAATGAAGCGGGCAGGTGGGTAACGAACGCTCTTCATCTTGCTTCCCATGAAAAATCCATTCCAGAAAAACAAAATGGCAATAGAGCTTGAAATCTCAAAGTTTAATGAGGGGCAGCCTAATCTCAGGCTGCTGGCACTCCTCTGAGGCTTGGAGCCACTGTAAAACCTTTAAGTGGTTTAAGACCAAGGTCATTTCTACATAGCCGTGCCAGGCTGAATTCTCCTGGCTTTCCATTAAAGGCAGCCACAACTTGAGTTTCTTTAATAAGAACAAAGGAAATGTCCTAGAAAAGGGCTGTGGGGCTTCAGAAGACTTCTGGTCAACCTCCCTGCTCAGCTATTCAGACAAGCACTGATTCCAGCAAGAGTGTCAGCAAAAAACGATCTCATATATTTACTAAACCAACAAGACAAAGAAGCCTTGAGTCAGCAGAGACACTAGGCTTTTTAATAAATGGAAGCTTGTAAGACACAGCCCTTGCCCTCACTGAGCTTATAATTAGGACTTTTCCCTGATATAACCAATCAGCATGCACTACTATTACAATTTAAGTCATTTCTTCCACCAGGAAAAACAAACTGTCCTAAGAAATTACATAGTGTTCTCTATGCAAATGTCTTGTAAGCAATTCTAGTAACTTGATACTGGCTTTAAAATCTGGGTTATTTGTAACCGCTGTATCCAGGGTCAAATTACAAATTACATTCTTAATGTGAGCTAGACACACCTTAGAAGTTAATTTTATTGGAAACAAACACCCTTCATGTCACACACTGTACAAATAACCTGTTATTTTGAATTCTATGCATCACCATGCCATTCAATTCTTGTAGCAAGACAGCGGTTGTCAACATGCCACCTCTCAGAGTCCACCCTTCCCCACATCCCGGCTGATTCCTACATGAAAGAAGCCCAACGGCTTCGGTTTCCCTTCTTCACTCCCCCTCCCTTCTCATCACAGGTTCCACGTACTAAAATTAAAATGGTCAATTGCTTTCGGTGCTTACCTTTGGGAAACTTCAAGAAAACTCAGCCCTATAGAAACAGGATTTACCAGAATATTTTGATCTTATTTGGTTGTCTGTATGTACATTGCCTAAGTCTAGAGAGAAGACAGCTGAGGCTTTAACTGCAATCAATATACCCGGTTAGTCCCCATCTGCTCACACCTGTTTCTCTCGCAGCTCTGTGATGGCAGTAACCCCCATCACCTGAATGGACTAGGGTCAACACTTAGGCGACCCTTGATGTCCTTTTGCCTCACATTATAAGCCTGATCCATCTTGATATTGCAACCTCCAGAATGTATCCCCAAAGCAACCTCTTCATACCATCTTCACCGATACCGCCATAGTCCAACCCACCATCACGTCTCAACTGAACCACCTGTGCCCAAAGCGAACCTCTCAAGGACGTGTCAGATCATGTTACTCCTCCAGTTCAAACCATCGATTGGCTTCATACTGTCATTCAACTGAAGTCCAAACTCCTTACCAGAGTCTAAAAGACTCTGCATGATGAAGACTGATGATCTCAACCCAGGCTGCACAGTGCAATTTCCTGGGGATCTTTTATAAAATTCCAATGTCCAGGCTCCACCCTAGACCAATTAAATCACAGTCTCTGGGGGTGGGGCTTGGCCACCGAGACATATTTTAAAGTTCCTCAGATAATCATGTGCGGTCTGAGTGAGACCCACTAATCTTGTCCTCGCTTCATCTGTCCACCTTCCCCTCACTCAGTCTTCTCTGTTCACACTCCTGGCCTTCTCACCATCCTTGGAACTTGCCAATCTTCTGTCCGCCCCAGGGCTTCCTTTTGCCTGGCTGCTTCCTCTGCTAAGACTGATTTCTACCCTAATCTCCACTTATCATTCAGTTGTATCTCAAGTGCCACCATCTCCCCAAGCCCTTCCCTATTTAAAGGGTGGATTTCATCTCTTCTCCCTGCACAGTCCCTGCCCTATTATTCTTCATGGCATTAATCACTATCTGATCTGACTTCTGTGTTTATTATCTCTTCTCTAGTAAAATGCAAGCTCCATGAAAGAAGGGACTGTGATGTTCCTCACCATTGATTGTATCTCCAAAAACTGTAGGCAATCAAAAATTATTTTAAGTGAACAAATATAAATGTTACATCGTTATGTATTTTAAGAGACAAGACTAGAAGCACAGACTCTGTCTATAGCAGCATGTTTTACAGCAAACCTTATGCGTTTTGTCCTTCCTCCCGGCAAGGGGGCCAGGGCCAGAGCAGCACCGCTCAGCGACCACAGATGCCAGGGGAACTACTTTCAGAGCATACTTAATTCCAGCGCAATAGTTGGAGAAGTTTCTTGGAATGATCATTTACCTCGAGGTACAAGGTTTTTCCAGGGACCCTGAATTAAAGTTAACACACACTCCTGAAGGCCTGTACTTGCATTAAGTGGTTACGAGTAGGATGAGAAGGAAAGACGCCTCTGTTCAGCCATCCCACGCGGATCCCCCTAGCACAGCTCCCTGGGCAACAATCACATCGCACATGTCTGCTGATGGGCTCTCTTGGGAGGACTGGAGAGGTGGAGCCAGGCTGGGTCCTGAGGACGCTGGGCCGTAGAGAACAGGAAGAACAACTAATACTTCGTTCTCATTTTTCAAACCACTGCTGAGCCTGGCCTTAGGCCAGCAGTAGGCTACAAAGATAAATAATACCTTCTCAACTTTTGAGAGGCTTGCAGTTGTGCAAGGCCAATGAAACAGTTCCTTCTCTCAGCTGACCACCACCACCCCGGGCAAAGCAACTGCACAGAACATGGTCCAAGTGTGGAACAGAGACACAGGAGGACTAAGGAGGGTATTTGAATTAACACAGGGCCTATAAACCACTAATGAGCATCCTGCTGTCAAACCAAGAATGAATGTAAATGCTTTCTTTGGTCTTAGGAAGCCACATGGGTAAAATCACAGGTTGAATGATGAACCCCACACACTGCAGTCTGTTGTCCAAGGAGTTCGGCACTGCGGTTTTACACAAGCCCCACAAATGATCAGATGGCACTTGGCTGTCCTTTGTCATTGTTCCTGTTTGGAGCCTCACAGAAGAACAAAGTGGATGAGTGGCTGAAGCGAACATTCTGGGTCCCCTGGTGGAGCGTTGGCACATAGCCCCCAGCACTCATCACCGTCCACCTGGTACTGGTGCTGCTCCATGCAGGTGGGATTATCATTCAGAATCTGCGGCGTATTCATACAGAGGTAGACTTAAAAAATTCTGAACTCCCTCCCTGGCCCTGTAACACCCTGCACAATCTGGCCCCTTCTAGACTGCAACATCAGCGCTGAAGGCTGAGGGACCTGCAGTGTCTGCAAAGGGTAACAGGTGTCAGCGAAGGCGTCAGAAGAGTAATACGAGTGGAGACAAGGGATCAAGTGTGTTCTAGAATGAACAAAAGGTGCCTTGCATACAAATCAAAACTGGAATGAGGTATCAGCTACACTCATTAGGATGGCCACTATATAAAAACAACAGAGAATAGCAAGTGTTGGCAGGGCTGCAGAGAAATTAGAGCCGTTGTGCCCTGCTGCTGGGAGTGAAAAACAGGACTCCCACATGATGTAGCAAGCCCACTTCTGGGTCTATACCCCAGAGAACTGGAAGTAGGACTAAAAAAGATACTTGTACACCCACATTTATAGCAGCATGATTCACAACAGCCAAAAGGTGGAAATAACCCAAAATGTCCATCAATGGATGGACAGACAAAATGTGGCACACACACAATGGAACAGTATTCAGCCTCCAAAAGGAAGGCAATGCACCGCATGCATGCACCTTGAAGACATTAACCTAAGTGAAAAAAGACAGTCACAGAAAGACAAACATTGTGTGATTCCGCCTACATTAGGTACCCAGAGCAGGCGAACTCATAGAGACACAACAGAATGGAGGCTGAAGGACTGGGGGGACTGGGGCGATCCTGCTGAATGGATACCGAGTTTGTTTGGGAAGGTGAGAAAGTTCTGGACATAGATAGTGGTGTTGGTCGCACAGCTCTGTGGATGTACTTAGTGCCACTGAACGGCACATTTGCAGTGGGACCCCGAGGCAGACCCTGGCTGTGCTGTGCTGTATGTAGGAAAGGTACTGGTGCCGCTCCACGTCCAGAGACGGAGAGGACGCCATTCGTATCAAACACACATTCTTCTAACAGAGGTTCTTAATGTCTCGCTCCACAGAAGAGTCTGAGATTGCATGTAACAAACAAAGAGGAAAACAGTGATTAGGCCCAGGGAGAGGCTGAGGGAGCAAACAAAAGCGAACAGCTGTTGGGCTGACTGCTCCACTCAGCCATGACATGAGCTTCCTGGCAGCCAGAGCAAAAATGAATTATCTCCTGTCAGGAAGGAGGAAGCATTCCAGTTTCACAAGGGAGACTGTGTGCTTTTAGCAATAGACGCTGAAGAATTTCGGTACACGGCGTCACATGTGGTGTGAAGCAACGGGACGGCCAGTCTCCTCAGCCAGTTTCACGCATATGCAGATTTCACAGGCTTTCTGCCTATACAAACCGTCAATTAAAATTAAGCTGTAGACCATTAAAGTACAATGCAAAGGCAGTTCTGGAAGGACTACGCACAGTCTTGGCATCCTGCCTCCCACTGTCTAATTTGCCATGGAGATGAAAGAGCGCACAGAAGAATAAATGAAACGGACATCTCCCTCGACCAGAGGATGCAAATGAGCCACCTGCAGCCGAAGATGATTTGTTTGGAGGGCAAGGTTTGATAGCTGGCACGGCCCCCCACTTTTTTTAAACAGTTTTTGAATGAATTGCCAACATTTAAAAACCATTAGAATTTATGACTATTCTTGTAAAATTAGAAGGTCTGGCCACACTGGGCCCCACTCCACACAGGACGACAGTCCATGCAGTGGCCAGCAGCTGCCCCCTCGGACTGGGTCCGGCCGCAGTGCTCCACGCACTGCCACT